GCTTTGTCGTTACCGGTTTGGTAAAACCCTTTGATTGGGTTGTGGCTGTTGACGTGGATGACCGATACGGTGCCTTTTCGGGAGAAAAGTGCTTCTTCTAGCATTAGAGCAACCGTGGATATTGACACGCCGGGCCCCGACATGGCCAAGCAAAGTTTGGCTACAAACATTGAATCGGTCACTATGTTGAGGTGTTCCATTGGGAACAGTCCACAGGCTAGTACTACGGCCGTTGCTTCTAATTGCTGGACTGAAAGCACGTGATCGGTCATTTTAATGCAGTGCCATTCTCCTCCCGATTGCCATACTGCCGCTGCGGTTGAGGTTGCTGAGGATGCATTTGTGAAGACCGTTGGTCCCTGTTGGGGCCGGTCCATGATCTTCTGTGGGAGGTCGATGTTGACAATTTTCAGCATTTGAGCCCAGGGGGGCTTAATAGCGTATTGAACTTCTCCACGAAATCCAGCAAGGGCTGTGGCTAGAGATTCTGACATCGCTACTGATTGTGGTAGCAGCTGTTTACGAAAGGGTAGATATATCGTGGCAGGTTCGATACCTAGGTGTCTTAGGGCGAGTTTTCGGCCTTTCATGATGAGGTTACCAATGCACTTGACTCCTGGAGAGAATGCGCGTGATGGTTTTCCTAGGACTATCCACTGTATTGGTTGAACTTTTTGAGGGGGGCCCTGGGCTAGCGCCTCTACTCCCCCCCTTTCCGTGAAGTATACATACAGATCAAGGGGTTCATTCGGGTTCCACCTGGCAAGCGTGCTTGATGATAGTTGTCGCTCGATAAAATCGAGAGAGTTCATTGCTTCTGTCGTCAGAGTCTTTTGTTCCCATGGGTTTTTTCCTTTTAAAAGATCGTGCAGGGGAGCCATGGTTTCAGGAGGAATCAGGACAATATTGCGGAGCCACTGTAAGGATCCCACTAATTGTTGCATATCATGGAGTGTTTTGATGTCCCGACGGATTTTCATCTGGGGGGGGTTATGTAAGAACTTGTGATCCCCACTCCCAAAAAACTTACACATGGTCCCTTTTTAACTTTCGCGCTCGCAATTTCAAACCCGTTTGTTTTTAAAGTTTCTGAGACTCTTGACACTAGCTGGTCCATTTGACTTCCTGACGGTGCAGCGATCAGGATATCATCCATGTATTGGATGATAGTCGCAGTCGGGTCACTGTGCCGAACTGGCGCCAGCACCCGGTCCACCGTGATCTGGCAGATAGTAGGCGAGTTGATCATTCCTTGAGGCAGCACTTTCCACTGGAAGCGTAAGTTGGGGAACAACTTTTGCGTGTTTGGAAACATGACAGAGAAAGCAAACCGTTCCTTGTTTTCTTCATGTAGAGGTATTGAGAAAAAACAGTCTTTAATATCAAGGACGGCACAAGGTTGCCCTTCTGGTATCATAGAGTTCATAGGCAACAATGTTTGGACAGGACCCATTGGTTGAATTATCTTGTTTACTTCACGCAGGTCATGGAGGAGGCGAAATCCTTCACCGGTTCGCTTGGGTATTACAAAAACTGGGGTGTTCCATGGGCTAGTAGAAGGCTCTATATGACCTCGTTGTAGTTCACGGTTGACTAGCTCGAGAAGAGCATCCATTCGAGGCTTCGACAGGGGCCACTGCTCGACCCACACTGGGTTGGACGATTTCCACTTCAGTCTAATTGGTGGAAGTGGCTGTGCGGCAGTGGCCCTTACGGTAAATTTGTCACCCTGGCTTTTAATAGGGATAAAGCGTCCCTTCCCAGCAGGGGAGGGACTCCTGACATGACATGGGAGGAGAGTAATGGTTTTCTCCGGTCCCTTTTCAGTGTGTAGCGTGATTTCGGGACCACTTGTTGCCTTCAGGAGGCAGTGGCGACCTGGTTCAGGAACGGCACGGCGACCAACCCCAGGCCGCTCGGTCCATGGGCTCACAGACACCAATGTGGTGGATGGCAAATGGCGTTTATTGTCGAGTCACATGGGGTTATCTACCCGAGGCCCATAGCGTCACTTCCGCTTGCTTACATCACAGGCCATATGCTACTGTCCATCAAGGGAGGGGCTCCACCTTTCCGTACAGCGCCACATCTTCCGGCCGCCAGACCCTAACTACCCACAGATAACCCAGCTGCATATTCAAAAAAAATCCACTGTTTAGACTTTTCTTCACTGATTCTGTACAGGCAGGCCTTCTGTGTTTGCAGTGCCCAATTTATCTGACTTGAACTGGGGATGCAGAGAAGTGAGTTCTATGCTTTTTGTCAAGAATACAGGCTGAAGGCATTCTGAAACAGCTTCCAAAACAAGCAAACAACTGAAACTAATCCAGTGGCTGGATATTTCAATGCTAAGAGAGCATGGTACTCAGCCATTCAGAAACTTGTTACTGATGTGTCTTTTAATACCTACGCTTGTTTCAATACTGTAAAGCTACACAAGTTCTAATAAAGAGGTAATCCATTGTCTTGTTACTGTAGTAAACAAACAGAAGATACATCATCTTACATCTTCTGGTTCCAGCTGCACTCTTCCTACATACAGTTCTGTAGGGAAGGAAAATCTGAAAATACTGTTGACATTCATCTGGATAGCCAAAGCGAGAAAACATGTTTGTGGCTTATTCTTGTTTTTAAAATAAAAATATTAATTTAATAAAGAAATTTGGTAAAGAAATTTTGGACAGTGCTCTCTTGGAGAAGAGCATTTCTGTTCTAAAGCAGGAGGCAACATTTGCAGAATTATGCTAGGTAAACAGAAACAGAAGTGTCATTTTTTTACTGTTTAACAGAACACACAAGCTAACCTCATGAACATATTGGAATTGTTTATATGAAGTCTTCTTTTGTCAGTATCCTGAATCAGAGTTCATCAAATTTGGTATCGGTTCTTTAACTATTCAGAGACCTAAATTGCCCTAAATAAATGATAGAACTGAGCCAGTAGAGTAAGAAACCCTCTCAGGAAGTGCTAAACTTTAAACTTCCCGTTGCCCTAAGCTCATGAAAAGCAAAGAATAGTATTCTACACCTGTTCTAGTAATAAACTCCTTTGGCTTTCTCCCTGCATTCCCAGATTTTGGGAATTAGTTGTCTAAGAACAAGAACTCCCCAGCGTATAAAACCACTTGTTGTCCCTTCTACTTCATAGAGGCCCAAATCTGAAAATATTTACGAATGCATTCAGCTTTGCTACTGTTGAGAAACAAGGCTGGTTACAATGGCAGCTAAGCCCAAGTGACACTGTCTGGCTAGACATAAGAGGTGGATTCCCCCAGCCATCCTGAAACAGGTTGATGAATCCAGGGAGTCAAAACATAGCACTTCTGCATTTTTGGTTTTGTAGACTGCATCCTGTGTACAGCCATTACAGCAAGGGCCACAGACTTTACAAAGGCAGAGCTACAAGAATCTGATTATTTAGAATAACTGTATCAATGCACAACTCATTGGTTACCTTTTAGAAATTCCTATGCTCAGCCGGATTCATTTTCCCCCCAGACCTGGTGCATTCTGGCAGTCTTGCAGTGCCCTCATCTGATCACCTTGCTCACCAAATCTGACATAGGCATGCCTTCTACAATTTTCAAAAGGGAGAAAACAAATTCTAGTATGCATAACAGTTACAAAACTAATGAATTCAATTTCTGTCTTCTACAAAAAAACAAGATAGCAGCTACTAGAGCTTCCATTACTTAAGCAACCTCTCCGGCATGTGCGCATGCACAGAAAAGGCTTTCACCAAATTAAAAAACTTGGGCCAGAAGCAAAAAGCTTGTTCCTTGGTAGCATTAAGATGCAACTCGCTAAGAGCCAGCAAAACAATACATTTTAAGTGCTATCTGTGTAAGTAATCAGATTCCATATTTCTGCATATACAGCAGTTAATCAGTTAGCATTAACCCACTCCTACCACTGCATAACACTAGCATTCTTTTTTATCTGCTTTCTCAAAAGGTTCTTGAATTAGTCTATTACAGGCAGCGTTGTCTGAACAGCAAACTCGCTCATTCCTGCTTGACTCACTGCATGGCCAGTAGTTTCTGCTAGACTTTATTTACTACTAACATTAGGTTCCATCCCCCAACCCCCTAAGATTTGCCAGGGCTTATGTTTTTCCCCAAACAAAGTAGGAATTATTTTGTCTTCAGTATTGCAGATGACTAAGTAGACACACAGCAGCGCTGATTTCAGTGCACAGCTCTTCCTTCTCCCACAGCTTCTAGTTGTTTTTTTTCCCCCCATGTAGATATGCATACGGGTAAGTTGAAGCTTATCACAGTAACTGCTTGAACTAACCGGAAAGCTCTTAAAAACACTCAAGGATCTGTGCTATTAAGAAAAGCAGTGCTAAAGAGTAATCTCACTCTTCGTGCCCCAGAAAAAAAGCACTGGAACAGCTCCGACGCAAGCTCTTACATATCGCTTATAAAAGCGAACACACTGATAACGTTACACATTTGCACTGGAATTACCTGGAATATCCCAGCAGGTCTGTTGCTATTTTGCAGTCAATACATGAGGGATACCTCTTTAGGAAATAGTCACAGAGCTGGAAATCATCCACTTCTGGGGTAAGCTCCCCAACAAATATTGAATAATCTGGTCTTTAAAAAGAGAGAGAGAAAGAACAATTTTAAGGTTCAAGACTAAGATAGCTGATTCCCATTATATTCCCAGTTAGTTATCACCAGACTAAAAAAGAGAAATCTGTAAGGAGTACTAAGTACAGAACTCTACTGAGTTGCGTAGAAAATTGCAATGCCACCACTCTAATCTAAAGTTTTCCATTACTCTGGGTCTATTCTACTGTTTCAGCAACAAGGACCCATTTTCTGACAACTTGCAACAGTTTGTTTCAAGAAGAAGCATAGTTTATTGTCTGAACAAGAAAGCAGCATAAAAATACCAAGAAAAATGATCAACTTAAACCACAGCCACGATTCAAAGGAGCTATGACTAGCTTGCTACTGCTTCCCAGTGACCATGGGAGACAGCAACTACAAATAAACCATTATTTATAGACACGTATTGCCAATGCAACATTTAGCTACCACACCAGCCATTTTGGAATTTGAAAAGTGAGTGATGGCATTCGCTATCAATTCAAACAGGTAAGGCAGAGTTTCTCATTTCAAAAGGTTTTTACCTGGCTGAACTACTACTACTAACAAACTCTATTCTTCCTGGGTTTATTTTGTTCCTTTTCTTTCGTTTTTTCTGTGGTGTTCTCCACCAGCTGTAGGCCTGGAAGCATTCTCGTTTTTTCCCAAGCAAGTCCTGTTGGGATAAAAAAACACCTCTATAGTATTTAGCCTCATTTACATTCCTCCCTCCGACTCCCCATCACCACAGGTGATTTCCCCATATTCACCTTGCCCTTGGAAGAAGCCTGGGGTCCCATTTCTCCCTCCGCCTCCCATGAGGGAAAGCAGCCTCTGGGGAAAACGCCTGGCAAAAATAACAGAGCCAAAGGATTGTATGAACAGCCATATTCCCCTGACTTGTCAAGCTGGCTAAAGGATTGACAGCTTCCTCTTGGAATTCGGAAAAAAGCAGTTAGCCCTTCAATGCTGGTCAATCCTATGCGTTAATTAGCTTAGGACTGGATTGTGCTCCATTTGAGCTCTCGGACTCTCAAAAAAAAAAGTCTTCAGTAGCACAGTGAGTGATGAACAGGCAGGAAATCATCACTCCTGCTCAGAAGAAATCTCATCTGTCCCTGTCTCCCCTTTCCTAGGAATTCTTCTTCCTTATGTGAGATGCCTCTCCTCACTACCTAGCTGCCAGTCACTCTCTCAGGCCAGGAACGACGACAGGAGGCCCATTAATGGAACGCAAGGAGAAAGCAGACCAGGAACAGGCACTAACTTGGCTGAGGGGAAAACTCAAAACCCAGATGCAAGGCCAGGAACTAAGAGGCATAAAAAAAAAGTGCCTCCAAAAACAAAACAAAACAAAACAAAACAAAAAAAAACACCCCAAAAGCCACAGTTAAAAAGGAAGTGTGATAACTACAGAAAAGAGGAGAGAAACAGCCATAACAACACAGGTTGCCTCCCTCATTTAGTATTCTGAAGAACAAGGATTTCCAAAAATATGATTGGCATTTTTCAGTAGCTTTTACTTACGCAGGCTTTAGTGTTCTTCCTCTAGAACACCTCTACATAACTTACCTAGAGAGTGTTACTCACAAGATCCTTCAGAAGAACTCATGCTCAAATAATCCAAACTGCAAAGCTTAACGTTTTGCCCCCAACCTGCTTCGGTTGTTATGATCAAGCATCCAGAGGACAACCACCAATTACCAAATTAGCAGAGGAAATCACAGGACTAGAACACCCAACTCAGAGTGAGCCAGCCATTTCAGCTTTACATTTACTAGGAATTCTGAGTATGGTTCTGGGATCCATTTAGACACTACAAACCTGAATTTCTCACCACAGGATCTTACCTGGTTTGCCATGGTTGAAAGAATCTGTCTTCTGTCTTTCTCAAGGAATGCAGCTGCAAACGCTCAGTTTATTGCAGTCCGTCAGCTAGAAAAAATGTGAGGGAGGGGCAAGAATAATCTTAACTTTGAGGTCAGTTTCTTAGATGCTCACCCTGTCCAACGCTTTTAATATTATTAATTCACAACTCGGGAGTTTCATTTCTGATGTGTCTCAATTGTTTTAGCCATGACAAGAAGGATACATAGCCAAGGGGACTACGATTAGAAGTCTTCTTCATTTTCTTAAACTGTAGTAGTCCACAAAGTTTTCGCGTTGTCCAAGACACTAAGAAATTGTGAGCTTTTAAGTGACCTACACCTTATCCTTATTTCTAAAAGAACATGCAATATTGTAATTTAATAGTTCCATGTTCTGAAGTAATTAAAAGCGAGGCAACAAAGATAGAAGCTTTCATGTTTTCTACAACTCCTCAAGTCACCCCACACACATTTAGAGACAAATTAGAAGTTGTATCTGCTTGTGGTTACCAGTTACACAGCTGGAAACAAGCAGTTGTACTTCCTACCTGCTAAAGGAGCAGAGATGTTAAGAGACAAAGCAGGGTACAGCACAGATAAGTATGACCCTTCTCTGCACCTTTCCTTAGGTGCATCTTCTTGTCTTCCACCTCTTCTGGCTGACAGGCACCAAATGCTGGGCCAGCAGCAGGTGCTGAAGACCCAGAGCCAAACACAAACGAAGAGGACAACCCTCAGGGAACAGAAGAGAAATTTCAGTATATGCAGGGCTTTTTTCTTTGTTTGTTTGTTTGTTTGTGTTGCAGAATGACTACGCATCACATTTTCCAAGTCTGGTAAACGAATACTTCAAATATTTGAGATAGATCTTAATGTTTACAGGCAAGTATGTAAAACAACAAACTACCTCAGTCCTATCCCGGCTGGCTGCTTTTCATGTTACTTACAAGAAAAGGTGCATGTTAACAACTCGGACAACATTCATCTCAAACACATTGGCTGTCTAGGCTGAAATTACTGTCTTAGGCATTCATGTTCTAGAAACAAACTCCCACAAACGGTACACGTTAATTTATATTTACTAAGAGCTGCTTCTATCACTTATATATACATAGAACATTAAAATACATAAATCAGCATATATATATAAATATATATATATATATATATATATAAAGGTTCAAAATACAGCTCCTGATCTATTAGGACCTGTATTTTCATTCTTGCCAGCAGCTGCACCCCTTCCCTGTCCAAGTGTTTACCATTATCAGTTCTGGAGGCCAAATCACGCCTGCAGGAATCTAACTATACTCAAAAACTCGGTTTAGTAGAGTAATTCTGTCCCTTCCCATAACGGATAACAAGCTCATTCAATTAGCTGTTTCGGTTCTTCAAGGCCAGCAGAAATAATGAAACAACAATACGTGATTGAACAATGACTCTGAACATACAGCACATCTGCTGAGCAAAAAGGGACATTTTCAACAGCACTATTAATTGGAATGTAATGTAAGCAGCCATCGTGCAACAGAAAACACCATCTACTGCACCGTAACTTGGAATGGCTGGCTGCTTTTCTTTCCAAGAAGAAAAACATAAATGGTAGCAGTTAACACAGACCTGAAGGCTTCTGCATTGGAACAACAACAACAACAAATCTTTTGCGAAGATTTTTGAAAGATGGCTTAATCTGCAGGTTCAGTTGATCTGCTTATGGCTGTAATTTAGTATGGCTCTTTCTCTGCATGTGGTATACAAAAATTAGTGTAAATTTAATTTCCATGAATGACAAGATTAAGCCCTCAGATCAAAATGAAATTGAACCTGTAAGGAAGATACTACATCTGTCTCCAAGGACTGCTAAGCTAGCAGGAATACCCATTCCATTATTTATTGCGTTAACGTTTTTCTTTGGTCTGCTATCTAATGGCAAAAATGAGAAAAACGTCTTTTTAAATGTACCTGTTGAACTTGATGTGGTTGTGGCTCCAAAGGTAAATCCAGGGTTTGCATTGCTACTGCTGGCTCCTGAACCGAAGACAAACGGAGCAACGGCTACACCAGTGCTGGAAGATGTGGTTGCTGGTTTGTTTTCTTGGGAGAAGCCAAAGGACTGAGATGTCGTAGATTCTGCAGAGTTGCCAAATGTGGAGCTGCTCACAGTGTTGCTGGCTTGTCCAAACACAAAAGGTGCAGGGACCGGTGCAGGGTTGGAGGAAGAGGTGACGCTGCCAAACACGCTGCTGCTGTTGGCTGAAGTGGTGGGTATGGCTGCGCTGGAGGAAGCAGAGCTCAAAAAGCTGAAGGATGGTTTTGCTGCTCCTTGATCTGAGAGGAAGAACACGACATGAGCCACTGCAAGACGCCAAAGGAACTACAGCAGACTCCGTTTCAATCCCTGTACAAAGAGCAATCCTGAACGACACCTCGGTTACGCTCCAGGTACTGGTGATTCCGTCAGATCCAGATTTAACATGCTGATTGCTGCCATCCACAAATCAAGGAGTGGAAGACTTGTGATGAGCAAGGACGCCCCCCTGCAGTCTCGAGGCTTTATGTATTGGTCACAAACACCAAGAGTTGGCTGTAATTATCTGAACCAATATTAAGCAGTACCTCTGACCTCTTCAAACAAAAATATCTTTCAGGTACTCTTATAAGAACAACATCAATTGCCTGCACCAGTTTTATGGCCTTGCTAAAGGGAGCACTGAAAAGCACAGTGGTACAGCTTCTTTTGTATCCTGTTCAGAAATGACAACCCTGTGCCTACAGCTTCAGATCAGGCCAAGCTTACCAGCCCAACTCTTACAGCTAAGTTCACTGCACCTGAATGCCTTGAAGACGTGCTTTTAGGAGCCATGGAGAAGAACCTGCTGTTAAGACCACCGTTACAAAGTACTGAGTGTTGTTTTACACTTCAAATAGAACTATCTGCTAAAGTCATTCATCAGCTTTCCCTAAGCTGCTGCTCTCTCATTACTGAATGTGTTCCTGCTCTCAGTTTCCCACTAACTTTTTCCCCCAGCCTTTATGGCCCCTTTTCATCTACGACACTTTTAAGGGACTACATCATGGTGAAAAATGCTGGTTAACACTTCCTTTTACACAAGGTGCCTCATGAAATTTTCCTGACTAAACCAAACCCCAGAACTTTAACTAGAAGGGGAAGCAAACAAACACACACACCTCCCCTGCCACCAAATCTCCCCAAAACAGATCTGTTCAGGAACAGATCAACTAGAAGAATACTGCGATTAAAATCAGTATAGCCCTCAACACTGCTTTTGTTCAGGATTACTAGCCAACGTCCTTTCCCTGACCACTTCTGGAATTAATACTGAATTCCATACTCTAAAGCATGGCTGGTAAGTCATACAAATGACAGTTAGCAATCAGAATTTTTCCACGCAGTGATCATCAATAAGAACTCCAATCCTCTACTGCAGCCTTTTAACAAAGTAAAGGAAAGCAGAACTGTGTAGTGACCGTTAAGTGATTTTTGGACTTTCGTAGTAGTAGAGAAACAGCACTACACTCTGTAGCACAGGCACAAGTACATGGGAGTAAGATCCTCGCTCTCATCTCTTGTTTCTCTGAAAAACGCTCGGGTGAGGCCTCTATTTCACCATACTAATGATTTTACTACCAGCTGTACTGCTAGCATTGAGACAGTCCAACTTCTGTGCTTGTACAAGATTAAGTTCCTTAAGTTCCTTAAGGTGTCACAATTTTTTGCCTAAACCTAGTGTCAAAACTCATTGAGATCAAAAAAGGAATTGCTGCTAATTGTGTACATAATTGTGTCGCTAATTGCGACAGGCTGGAACCTGGGCTGAGACCTCTGAAGTGCCTGTAAACCAATCCTGCAGGCAGCCTCTAATCCATCAACTGGATCTGGGAATCACGTTGCTTAAAATGTTCCATAAATGCAACGTACTTTTCTTCTGTACAAGATTCACAGAGGCTAAGATGGAAACAACAGGAAAAAATAAAAAGGACCATACCTGGTTTCTCAGACTGACAAGCTACACATTTGTTATCTTCTGCCTTATTTGATACAAGACATATTGCACAGTCCCAAGAGCCTTTCGGCTTCTTAAATTTGTCTCCAAAGTCCAGAGTGAGTGTCGTGTCAGTGCTGCTCGAGGAGGATGTCACTGTCATTCTAGCTCATAAGTTTTAAAGCACAATGATAGGTTGGGGTTTTTTTGCTATGCTTTTGACAGTTTCTGTAATCTTTTTGTTCATCACTCTCTTCTTGGAGCATCATGAAATCATGTAAATATTCTAGAAATGTAAAGAGTTAAATGGGGTCTAAAGATAGACTTGCCTGTGTAAATAAAAATTTGTTTCTGCAAACCTGCCAGCAAGGGATTTACTGGTACCTGTGTGCAGCACGTTCTCTTCTGGCTTGTGAAACTTAACAAGGTAGTAAGGGTATTTCATCTGCCTTTATTTTTATATGGGTGTTAGGACACAAGCAAAATCTCGTTTTCACTTGTTTTCCTGGTCACTTAGGTAAGTGACAAGCCAAGCCCTTCATGTGCTTGCTTAGATTGGAAGTGTGTATGGGA